CAGCACCAAACCCACCGTTAGCACCACGTACAGCAGCAAAAAAAAAAGGACTAGAAACCGCCCTAAACACGGCAGCAAAATGGCCATTTCTTCGGCCACCTTTATCCTCCATTTTTCTAGCCAAAATCAGGCCTAAAAGGCACAAAAAATGTAACACCCCAATTTAGCATTTCCTCTCTCTCTCTCTCTCTCTCTCTCTCTCTCTCTCTCTCTCTATATATATATATATATATATATATATATATATATATGTATATGTATTTTTTTTGTTAAACATGTAATAATTATGTTTCATGTATAAATAAAATATATGTTTTAGACTCTTATGAAATTGCGTTTAAACTTGTTTATATTAATTATATGTATTTTTTTGTTAAACATGTAATAATTATGTTTCATGTATAAATAAAATATATGTTTTAGACTCGTATGAAATTGCGTTTAAACTTGTTTATATTAATTACATAATTTTGAATTATTAAGTTGTTAAGGATTAAAGTTATGTGAAAAAAAGAAAAATTAAGTGTGTGTGTGTGTCTATATATATATGTTGCATGAATAATTTAATTATTTAATATATGAATATTTATTTAAGAAATGAATAAATATTTAATGCTTGCAAAGAAAATAAGTTAATACATGCATAAATATTATGAGAGGAGAATAAATTATTTAATGCTTAATTTAATAAGTTATAAGATTAATTGTTGAGTTTATAATAATTTAAGGGTGTAATTATAAGATTTTAGGGGTTTAGTTTTACTATTAAAAGATTCGAGTGCTTGATTAAAATGATGTAAAAATTCAAATGACCACTATAACTTAGTAAAAAGCCTAGATAAGGGCTGGATTATCGAAAATTGAAATTTTAGGGACTAAAATTGGAGGATCCGATTGAACTAATTACAAATTTAGAGACCAAATTGTAAGATTTTGGAAAATTAAAGGATCATTTAATTAGGATGGAATTGGTCCTTTATATCTAGATTTAAGTTGGAAAAAAAAAGAGAGAAGGAGGGGCTAGTATGTTGGCACGAAATGAGAAAGAAAGAAAGAAAGAAAGAAAGAAAGAAAATTAATTCTAACTAGGAGGCATTTAATTAAGGGCGGGGGATTAATCCAAGTGTGCCATACTTGGCAAAATCACAAGGAAATCTTCTTTTATAAATTTGGCAAGAAGAGGAAGAAGAAAGGGATGGGAACTTGAAAACTCAAGGAAGATCAAGTTGAGCTCAAGGTAAATTCAAGACAAATTAAGCCTACCCACTATCTAAAACACCTTAGATACACTCCAAATACATTCTAGAAACACTGGAAGAGATCAAACAAAGAAGAAAGAAAAAGGAGAGATTTGGTTGAAACATTGAGGAAGGAGGAGGAAACTTCAAGCAATCAAGAAAGAACTTGATCAAGTATGAAGTGAGATAAGTGTAGTCCTCACTAAACCACAATAAAATGATGAATTATTACTTGATTTTTCATATTTTGAAGTTTTGAAAATTATGGGTTGGTTGTTCAAATTGTTAGGTTTTAGTATAATTGATTTATTTTGATGAGTTGTTGATGAAAACATGTTTATAATGGTTGATTGTTCATATTTATTGGATTAAATGAAGTTGGGTTGATGAATTAAGTTTGGGTAAAAGGAATTAAAAGTTTCGGCTAACTTGATGAATTTGGAGGAAAACATGGATTTCATGATTTGGTGTTTTTTAGGTGGATTAAGCATGTCTAAAAATATTTAATTGGAAAATAGATGTAGAATACCTTTATTGTTGAATTTGACCATAATCCTTAAAATTGGATTAATTAAGTGTTTATAGGTTGGATTGATTGTGACTAAATGCATTTGAATGACCTAAATTGATGAATTTTAAATTGATTGTTCTTGATGTCTTGTTTGGCTAAGGTATTTAACTAAGAGCATTAGTCTAATTCCATGATTTTTGGTAATGGATTGATAATTATATTATGTTTTTCATGTAAGAATTGATGTGTTTTATGATTGAATTATGCTTAGTTAATTATGATGTATTTGTTAGATATATTCGGCCAAGTATAAGATTTTGGTGAAAATGGTTGATTGTCTTAATTGATGACTTTGGCTATATTCTTGAAGTTAGGTGTAATTGGTTAAATTAGATTGTTTATATATTTGTGTGTGTTGAATTAGTGTGAATGAATATGTTGAATGTGTTAATTTGATGAATATAGATTGGTTGCTTATTGAAATTTGACCAAACCGGAGGATTAATCGTGAATTAATTAATTGATGTTAGATGGTATTTAAATGGATTAAACGAATGCATTAATATGGAAACATGTGTTGACATTGTGAATATTGGATTTTTTATGGAAGTAAGTGTTCATGTTGTGAATAATTAATGACTCGGGTTGGTGTTTATATAATGATTAATTGGCTAGTATTGCTTGAATTGGTTTAATGTGGTTTTGTGTGTTATTTAGTTAATCATGCAATTGTCATTTTTTCCATGCATTTCATGAAATGATTTTCAACATGTTTCATGAATTTCAAAGATAATAATCAAGTGCATGGATTTTTAAGAAAATGGCTAGGCATGTCCCAATCACGATTACGGGTTTAATCATGCCATATAAAAAGAATGATCTAATATAAACTCTTTGTGGGCGTCACATGATTCACAAGAGAATCATAGATTTCACAGGAGAAATGTTTAGTGTTTTTCATAGACATAGTTTTCATGGATAATTGAATACATAAATATATTTAGTAGGATACACTCGATCACAAAAAAACGTATTTCTAAAGTCATAAAAATATATTTCATTGCATTATGCATACATGACTACACCTATTAAGCATTAGCTCACCTTTTATTTCTTGTGGTATAGGGAAAAGAGGTCCAAAATAATGATGTGCTTCAAGTTGCCGAAAGAAGACCGACTTGTCGGTGTGTGTTTAATAAATTAGGTGTGAGTGAGAAGACCTTCCCTTCTCTTTTATAGTACGTTTTAAACTTAAAATGTGTGCTAGGTTTAGCACTTAAAAGTTTGTAAAAATAATGATATTCTTAGACTAATTCTATAAATATTAAATAAATAGATGTGTTTGATTTGGTTTAATTAAATTTTAATAAATTAAATTGATGGTTCGACTAATAAAATCAGTTTAAGTGATTAATTGGATTGAATAAGGAAATTACATTGGGTTCAATTAGAATTAGATGGCTAAAGGATTAGATGAATTAATTGACTTAATGGCTTAATTTAATCGACATGAATAAGTTGGATTTAATAAGTTGATACCAATTGGATTTAATTGGTAAGGAATAATTGAGCTTAATGGATTCAATTGATTTTAGTTCAATTAATTGAAATTGATGTTTTCTAAACTTAAAATGCTTTTCCAAGTATTTAGTCCATAATTTAGCTTTCAAAGGGCTAAATTAAAGTTTTAATTGAGTTGATTAATTGGTTTACTAATTTAACAGATTTTAAAACAATTCTAAGTTATGGACTAATTTAATTGGTGATAAAATAAGTAAAGGCAAAATGACTATTTTCTAATTAAATGGATTAGTTTATAATTAATTCAGATTTTAAGGAAATTTATATATAAATAAGTTAGTTTAATATGATTATTTCATTTTATGATTAAATCCGAATTTCTATAAAAAGGAATTGAAAAAACAAATTAAGGAGACAAATTAGCTTACTTTGACTTAAATTATTTTATTCAAGTATTAAAATTAAGTTTTATGACTACAAGTTTTCAAGCAAAATTTTAGACAAGTATTTCTATATAATCGATAAAAGAATATTTTTTTTATATAAAAAATGGCTTATTTTGAGAAAAATGTATACCTATTTTTATTTAAAGTTTGGACTCGACCAATTAAATCAAATGAGCTTTCACGGTGTGCATTAATAATTTACTAATTAAGGACACGAGGTTTAATGTTTTGCATTCATTATACTTAAAATGTGAGATATCGTCGATAATGCTCTCAACTTATTTAGGTCATAAGTTAGTAGTGTTACATAAAAATTGTCTCAACGCAGCAGTAAAACAACAACAAAAAATTGTATATCCAACCTTTAGTTAAGCACATTGTTAATCCAACTAACCTTCATTTGTTTGTTTTCTCTCTTTTGGCCCAACTTTGCAAACATTTGCTTGTTGAAAAGTTGTTAAAATGACAACTCAATTAAAAAAAAATAGTAATGTTTTTAATTTCTTGTCCATGATTTGGATCTCTTTAAGAAACCAAAGACATGTCACAATGCCCTAATTGAAGAATTGCTCATCAAGAGACATATGTGTTGAGTGGTAAAAAACTTTTATGTCCAAGTCCTGTAAAGAATTGCAAATTTAGTTAGACTGAATATTGTTGATTAATCCAACGGTTCATACGTATTCTTAAAGTTTTTTTTTCCTTCATATTTAGTATTTTTTATGTGATAGCATTTATAAAACGAAATGATAAATATATAAGCAAATATAAGGAATGAGAAGAGTAATTAATTAGTAACTACTTCAATGCCTAAGCTAACATTTTTGAGCTTGTTTTTTTTTCCCCCATAATTGTCATATCCATGTCCACTGGACTATAAGATTAAAATGAAGAATACACATGGATTGTTGGATTAATCCAATGGTTCATATGTATTCTTAAGTTTTTTTCCCTTAATATTTAGTGTTTTTTTTTTTTTTTTTTTTTTTTTTTTTATGTGATAGCATTTATAAAACGTACGTAATGATAAATATATAATAATAAAAAAAGAAAAAAACTTCAAAAAAATTATGAATCATTGGATCTTGATCTTAGTAGATTGTACTAATCTAATGATCCATGTGTACTTTTGAAAAAATTTCTTCGTCTTTTCTCGTATATAAATACCCCTAAAAAGCCAAACCTCTTCAAGTCCCCATCAACAAGATTCTTCAACTTTAGCAATTTCTCATTGCTGTCCATTACCTTTCTCTCCCTTTGTTTGTCTTGCATTGAGCAAATAAGATGGCAAAGTTGTTGCGTCTTCATTTACTCCCATTTTTCATTTTCTTGATCAGCTCACAAATCAACACTTCTTCTGCTCAAAATAGCTATAACGTTCTGAGTTATGGAGCCAAACCAGATGGAAAAACAGACTCCAGTAAAGCCTTCCTTGATGCATGGACTGCAGCTTGTGGTTCCACAGGTTCAAGTACGGTTTATGTACCAGCAGGGACCTTTTCGCTTGGCTCTGTGGCCTTTAAAGGTCCTAATTGCATAAGCCGTGATATTACGGTAAGGATCGAATGCACCCTAGTTGCTCCTAGTGATTATCGCAAACTTGCAGGAGCTGACAGTTGGCTTTGCTTTCACCTCGTTAATGATGCTTTCAATTGTTGGTAATGGGGCCCTTAATGCAGATATTTAGCAATTTTATGTGATAGCATTCATATAAAAAAATGATGAATAATAATTAAAAAAAGGAGAAAAAACTTCAAAAAAAGTTAAGAATCATTGGATCGTGGTCTTAATGGATTTCACTAATTAATCTAATGATCATTTGCATTTTTTAAATTTTATCTTCATGTTTTTCTCATATATAAATGCCCCTAGAAAGCTAAACGTCTTCAAGTCCCCCATCAACTAAATTCTTCAACTTCAGCAACTTTTCATTGCTACCAATATCACGTACCATCGCTTCTATCCTAATCACCTTCCCCTCCCTTTATTTTTCTTGCGTTGACCAAATAATATGGCAAAGTTGTTGGGTCTTCATTTACTGCTATGTTTCATTTTTTCTTGATCAGCTCACAAATTAACACTTCATCTGCTCAGCAAAGCTATAATGTGCTGAATTATGGAGCCAAACCAGATGGAAAAACAGACTCCAGTAAAGCCTTCCTTGATGCATGGACTGCAGCTTGTGGCTCCACAGGTTCAACCAATGTTGATGTACCAGTAGGTAACTATTTACTTCGCCCTGTGTCCTTTGAAGGTTCTAATTGCGGTAGCCGCAATATCACCGTAAGGATTGATGGTACCCTAGTGGCTCCTAGTGATTATCGCATACTTGGAGGAGCTGAAAGTTGGCTTGCCTTTCACCAAGTTAATGGTGTTTCCATTGCTGGTAAGGGGGTTCTTAATGCAAAAGGGCCGTCCTTATGGGATTGCAAAGCTAAAGGCAGCAATTGTCCTGAAGGAGCCACGGTATATACTACATTTTAATGCAGTAATCTCTCTCTCTCTCTCTCTCTCTCTGTATATATAGCGTACGCCACATTCATATATACTTGTTTTTGATGGGTGCAGTCACTAAAAGTGATGAACTCCAACAATGTAAGGATCAATGGATTGACGTCAATAGACAGCCAAATGTTCCACATTGTAATTCATGAGTGTCAAGATGTGCATGTTCAAGATGTCAAAGTAATAGCCCCGGCTGATAGCCCAAACACGGATGGTATCCATGTGGAAGCATCGAAAGATGTTTTGATCCTGAATTCTGGAATCAAAACAGGGGATGATTGCATCTCAATCGGGCCTGGTACTTGGAACTTGTGGATCGAAAGGACCAACTGTGGCCCTGGTCATGGCATTAGGTGAGATCTAATTTAATCGTGAAATTTTTTAAGTATAGTATATCATTAATATTCAGGATGACTAACAATTGGACAATTATGGGGTTTTTTTTTTTTTTTTTTTTTTTAAGTATTGGAAGCTTAGGCAAGATCATGCAGGAACCAGGGGTTCATAATGTGACAGTTAAGACTACATATTTTAATGGTACAGAAAACGGGTTCAGAATAAAGTCATGGGCAAAACCCAGCACTGGATTTGTCCAAAGAGTTCGATTCAGTGGTGCCAATATTAATAATGTTAAAAATCCCATTATCATTGATGAACATTACTGTCCTCAAAGTCCATGCCCTGAAAAGGTAAGAAACTGATACGATCATTTTCTTTTTCTTCTTTGGAAATTAAAAAATATTGTCTGACTGCCTTTAATTTGCTTCCAATTTATTTTATGTTGTGCTATTAGGGCTCAGGAGTAAAAATAAGTGATGTGGCATATATAGGCATTCGAGGAACATCTGCTACACCAGTTGCGATAAGTCTTAATTGTAGCTCAAGCAATCCATGCACAGGCCTAAAGTTGCAAAATGTAGATTTGAACTACTTAAAAGGACGAGCTCAATCATCTTGTGCCAACGCAAATGGACAGGCAGTTGGCCAAGTTCAACCACAAGGTTGTTTGTAATTTCTTTTACATGAGAAGAAGAGTGGTGTTTCTAGCTTCAGAATGCCTTTTTCTTTATCGTTGGACGAAAATGGGTGTTGAAAACCTAATTAATCTGTTGAATAGAGGGCAAAAGGTGCCATTCATTATTCTATGTTATTAGTGAAAATGTTGTTTTGCGTACTAACTTAATTATAAAGATGGTCTCTTTTGACTTTTCATAAAGATTATAACACAGTTATTAATCATTATATTATATTAGTATATACCATATTAGCATTGTTCATGCTGCTTAAAAATATATTTTTTTCCTTTTATAATTTTATTTGACCAATCTTTTTTTAAAAAATAAATTAGTTGAATTTTGATCAAAAAATTATTTTTTTTGACATATATGCATTAATAATTTAGACAATAATTAAGGACACAAGACTTAATATATATCTTGCATTCTTTGCACTTAGAATATGAAGCATTGTCGATAATGCTCTCGACCTATTTATGTCTTAGACCAAGGATGCTACATAAAAACTGTTCCAACATAGTAGCAAAACAATAACAAAAAATGGTATATCCAACCTTTAGTGAAGCACATTGTTAATCCAACTAATCGTCATTTGTTTGTTTTCTCTCTTTTGGCCTAACTTTGCAATTAAAAAAGTTGTCAAAATGACAACGCAATTAAAAAAATTTGGTAAGGTTTTTATTTTCCAGTCCATGATTTGGATCTCTTTAAGAAACCAAAGAGATGTCACAATGCCCTGATTGAAGAATTGCTCCTCAAGTGACTTCTTCGTTGAGTGGTCAAAACCTTAATTTTATGTCGAAGTCTTGTAAAGAATTGCAAATTTAGTTGGACTGAATATTTCTAGAGAGTAATATAAAACTATTCCCCATACATCATATAATAGCTCAAACTTTTGGATTGAAATAATTCTTTGATATAGTATCAAAACCTTAATTATCAAATGGTCACAAGTTCAAATCTCAACGCTTCTATTTTCTCTTCTAATTAAGTACAATGCAATAGTGGGCATGTTAGAAAATAAATCAAGCAAGAAAAATAGAGTACAAAGATAAGAACAATCACCTAATATCATTAAAATTTACATGGTTTGACAAATGTGCTGACTCCAAGGCTATATTATGATTTCTTATTAGGGTTTTTCAACGGACGCAAATAAATACAAGAGATAGTATCTATATTTATAGTAGAGACGATTAGGATTATACAATTGATTATGACTCGCATAGTACACTAAACTATGGGCTACTTTTACATCAATCACTATAATTTAAGAATTTTTCACTTGGAGATTGATATCTAAATAACACCAAAACCTTTTATAACTCGTCTTTTTGGAACCAAGTTTAAGTCCTCCTAGTGTAGAGCTTTTTCACCACCAATCGTAAAGGCTAATTGAAGTAGTGCAAAGCCTTAGTTTATCAATAATAACTATCTTGGTTAATATATTAGCTAGATTCTTTAATTTTAAAATCTTCTCCAAATATATTATCCTATCATCCCACAACTTTTGAATAAAGTGATACTTCAACCTTATGAATAGCTAAGAAGATTGTGTCTATTTAACACAATTTTCTCTAGAACGATAGTGGTTAAAAAAATATATTTTTAAGGTTGCTTGGAATTTCCAAACTCGTTCTAAGAGGAATGCAAAGCCTTACTTTATCAACTTTAAGTCCACCATTGTCCTTTTCTTAACCAACGTTAAGTCCTCCTAGTGTAGAGCTTTTTCATCACCAATCGTAAAAGGCCAACCGAAGTAATGCAAGCCTTATCTTATCAATAACAACTATTTTCGTTAATATATTAGCTAGATTCTTCAATTCTAGAATCTTGTTCAAACATGTTATCCTATTATTCCACAATTTTCGAATACGGTCATACTTCAAACTTAGGAATAGCTAAGAAGATTGTATCTATTCAGCATAATTTTCTCTAGAACGATAGTGGTTATAAAAATACTTTTGTAAGGGTGCTTGGAATTTACAAACTCGTTCCAAGAGGAATGGAGGAATTAGCATTGGTTCTCTAGTCGTTAAGAACAACCCTCTTATTTAAGTGGATTTAGAGAATAAATAGGAGTAGTGGTTCACATTGGATGGAATTAATAAGATAGAAATATACAGCAGATTTCAAAAATGAGCATCCTATTTTCAACTGTATTATTTCTCCCATCCGGAGGGAATTTGCTCCTCTGTTGATGCGGTTGATCAGCTTGTTACTTTTGTTAGAAATGAGATGAGAAAAACTGTCATTGGTGACGGTTCGACAACTTTATTTTAGGAAGATTTATGGGTAGGTACTATGCCTTTAAACCATTTGTTTCCATCTCTTTTTGCACTAGCTGATGACAAATGGTGCAAGGTGACAGCTATAGCATTTTAGACTCTCTTTATTTTTTTCTTTTTTCTTTTTTCTTTTTTGTTTCGATAATTTAGATGGAGAAGGCCACTTGGTTCAAAGCAACCCATTAATATTTTTCGAACATTTCATTAATTTGATACTCATCCTTGGATAATCCAATCGAACATTATTTGAGCATATATAACAGGACATATTCACGAGCTTCTCATACAAATTAAAGATTTTTTTTCCCCTAACAAAAAGTTCAAGGTATTTTATAACCAATCAACTACTTTTTATTTTTTTAAAAAATATGTATCTTTCAGTAATTTTTATCAATCATACTATTCTAATGATAACTCCTTTAAAGAGTTGTGTTTTTATTTTACTAGACGTGTAGGTGCAAAGTAGGAAGCTGCCTGGCCAACTAAAGCCGAAAGGCGTCATCAGATGCTTCCTTAGGCGGATTTTACTAAGCTGGCCTGTGAAGAAGATGCAATTTGCGCTATACTATTACCTGATCCAAGTATAACTCTGAAAAGTCTTAGCACTTCATTACATTAATTATACTTCTATAATTTAATAAATAAATAGTCCAATCGGTTGCTTTACGTCTTAGTTTTTTTTTTTTTTTTAAACTATTATTAATTACAGCCTGTACAATCCGAAAATCCTACTTTTTAGAGATAGAAGTCTTTTTTAGTTCTTATTTCTTAGCCACTAACCAAAAATTTATTCTATTATATATATATATATATGACTACTAAGCTGGAGATCTCAGAGTAATCAAACAAAAACCCTGCAACGCTGCCGGCAGCAACCCAAAAACGCCGTGATTCTATCAATGAAGACAGGAAGCAGGGCAAACGAAGAGTTTTCCTTGTATGATTCTTATATCCCAGATTGTCTTTTGACAGAAATCCTGATCAGGCTTCCCTTGAAATCCATCTTCCTCTTCAAAACTGTCTCCAAGCGCTGGCTTTCTGTGATTTCTGATCCTTTGTTTGCTCGGTCTTTTGTGACCAGAATCAACAATGATTCATTATTATCTCGATCTCATCAGCGATGGATCTTTCTGCTTCCTTCCATAGTTAAAAACTCGATCCCACGTGATCCTTCTGCTTGTATGGGATTTTCTAGAGTGTCTTCTTCAGCGTTTTCGCTTTCCTTTGTTCATCTACCAGTCGACGCCGACGATTCAATATTTTATCTCTATATTCTAGCGTCAAGCAACGGTTTGGTGTTGTGTGCCAGGGAAGAATACCCGTCAACTTATTATGTGTGTAATCCCCTCACCAAGCATTATGTCATTCTGCCGAAGCCACCTCGTTTCCATGATAGAATTGATGCTGGCTTTATTTGCCAAGATGATGGTGGCTACAAGTATTGGGCAAAGAAACACAAATAACACATCGGAACCCTTTGCTTTGCTTGAACAATCAATCACAGGCTACAACCAAATACCCAAGCCAAACAAGTAACTAATAATCTGAAAAATAAGCAACCAATCACAATCACACAAAGCAAACATAAATTTTTATGTAGAAAACCTCCTCAATTTGACTCAATTTGAGAAGGAAAAAACTATGGGATCGGAGTCCAAGTATAACTTTCACTATCAATAATAACAACAATAATGGATACAAGAAGTTCTCTCTAGATTAAACTATATGAATAATCAGCCACGGACATCAAAGGTTACACCCTTGACAAACCACATCAAAAGATGATACACAAATAAAGTAGAAGAAACCAAATTCAAATTTCACTAGAAAATAGCACTCGTTACGAGCACAATATCTCCCTCTCCAGGACTCAAAACCAGATCTCCATCATCCGGAATGTACGCCTGCCTCTCCCGAACGTGCCCACTAAATTGGAGCTCGATCCGACAGTTAACAAACCTAAAAACTCAATTTTAACCTCGACCGATCTGTACTCGAAACTCTTTTCCCTCTTTCTTTCAAAAGTTGCGGCTCTCACTCATTTTCTCTTCTTTCTTCTTCCCTAATCTGATTTCAAAATAAAAGAGAAGATATGATTTATTTGTAAATATCAAAATTACCCGTTAAGTGATTAAAAAACCCTTCTCTATATGGGCTTCAAAATTAGGCTCATGTAGACAAACTTTTGGGCCATCCTTCAACTAGGAGGGAAACCCAACAACAGGGCAGTGAGAATCCTGGATCGTGAGAGTTCATCAAACATGCTTGAATTGGAGGTTTTCTCTTCTGAAACTGGTACATGGAGGGAGTTCAATTGTCCTTGTCCTGTCCATAATTACAGCCGAACCGAGCACAGATGGGATTACAGTACTGTTTCCTACAATGGCATTCTATATTGGACTAATGACGACCGAGTCATTGCATATGATCCTTACAGAAGCACTGATCAGTGTTACTCGATGATCACCCCAAATTGTACAAAGACTTTGCTACCAAGTAGCATTGTAAACCTTGGAATTTGTTGCGGTCGTCTATGTTGCCTTGCAGCAGGCCGTGTTAAGGGTTTAACATCGTTGGAACTCACCAATGGAAAATGGCATTTGAAGCACACAAGCAAATATAGTGATATGTGGTCAAATGATACAGGGCTGCATGAAATTATTCGGAGTAATGAGACTTCTTTTGAATTGTATCCATTGGCCATACAT